CATCGCTCCCTCCCCCCCCCCCCATCCCGCACAGGCTACCAGCAGGGCTTCTTCGGCTGCCTGAACAACCCGATTGTCTGCCTGGCCTCCTGCTTCTGCACCTGCTGCACCGTCGGTTACGCCGTCGGCCAGGTCAACAGCACCTCCTTCGACCTCTGGTCTTGCCTGTGCCCCCACATCGGTATGTACCGTCTGCGCCGCACTGTCCAGACCAAGTACGGCATCAACGAGTCTGAGGATGCCTCCATGGTCGCCACTGCCTGCCTCGGCTGCTGCTCCGTCGCCCAGGACACCAGCGAGGTCCTTGCCCGCAACGGCGGTGGCTCTGCTTCTCAGCCCTCTTCCGTCTCCAACATGGAGGCCTAAATGATGAGCATGTTCGGGGATCACCCATGTCCTTCACTCTTCCTTCTGTCCCCCCTCTCTCTCTCTTGCCTCAATCGACTTCCAAATACTCCATCCTCCTTTTCTTCTTCCCTTCTCGCGCCGCCTCCCCTTTCTCTCCCTCATTTGGCGCGCGCGCGTGTGTGTGTGTGTGTGAGTGTGGGTGTGTCTGTATCTGTGTGCGCATGTGGGTGCGTATACATGTGAATATGTGCACAATGTGCGGGTGTGTGTGTGTGTGTGTAGGGCGTGCGTCTGATGGCCTTCATATTGCTTCTGTGCCTCTGCCTTTTTTGCCACCCCTCTCTTCCTCCCCTCTTGCCTTCCTCTCCATCTCCGTCTCTCTCTCTCTCTCTCTCTCCTCGCCTTCTTCCTGTCCCTGCTGCTGCACACACGGTGTGCGCTTACGCATCTCACATGCGCCTGTCTGTGCATGTGTAGAGTGTACTGAGAGCCACCGCTGGCGCACGGCATCCACAGGCACGGGCGCCTGATGCTTTCCTTTTCCTCCCCCGCCTCCTCACCATGCGTGGTGTACGGGCGTGTTATGGGGGGGTGTCCTGACGCGGTCCCTTACCCCCCCCCCCCTTCCCCCCCCTCCCCCCCCCGCCTTCTTTTCTTTCCCCTTCCCAGGAAGGTGCCAGGGTGACAGCCCGGTGAGGAGGGGGCGACGGGGGGACACCCCGGCCATTCCGCCTCACCTCCCCGTGTTTTGCCCGTGTGCATGTTCCACACTGATCCCTTTCTCGCGGTGTCCTCTGCTGCTCTGCCGCGCTCGATGCGGCCGGTTATAGTTGTGTGGTGTCTCTCGAGGGAGGGGCGGAGAGATAGAAAGACAGAGAGAGAGAGAGAGAGAGAGAGAGAGAGAGAGAGAGAGGGAGAGAGCGCGGGGAAACATGTGCATGTGTGCACCGCATCTGGTGTTCGTGCTGGCCGAGGGGGGGCCAAGAAAGGGTGGCTGGACGGCGACCATGACAAGGCCGTAGCCGAAAAGGTCAAGAGTTCAGTCGGCGATTGTGTTGTTGTTTTTTCGTCGCTCCTCATTCAACTGGGGGGCAAACTCTGCTTTCTCGGAAGTCCAGGCGCCTCGCCCCGGGATGTACGCTGGCGAAGACCCTACTGCCGGGGGGCCCGTGTGTGGTGCGCAGTTTCCCGGGAGCCGAGAGAAACGCCATCCCAAGGCACCAGTACCTGCCCCCGAGACACGAGGGTGACACTGACCAATCAGAACGGCTCCACCACCCAAGGCAGACCTGCCCCCCCTCCCGCCTTTCCTGGCGGTTTCTCGAGCAGACGCAGGCCAGACAGACCCTCGTCTCCCTGGCGGCTCGGCTCTCGCAGGCCGCTCCCTTCGGTCTCTCTATATCCCCCCGGGAACGTGGGCGCGCGCGCGCGCGCGCGCGCGGGTGGGTGGCCCGGTGTGGATGCGAGGACACGGGCCAGAAGACCTTCGGTGGAAGACGCCCCGCGGCCCGAGACCGGCCGGGCTCGGACGTGCTGGCAGGCGAGGCTGCCAGCCGTCGGGTGCATGAAAAAAAAAAGACCAGACAATAATGACCCCCCGTTTACGCGCGCGCGCGCGCGCGCACTCGAACGGTAGGCGCAACGGTCGGACCCTCATGGTGCGCCGGACTTCCAATCACACGCTTAGCCCGTGACTTAATCGACATCAAGTTACACGGCACCACGCGTGGCCCGAGGAATTTCTCTCCGCTCCCGGCGAGTATGGAGCGCCCGAGAAGTGCCACCTCTCATTCTGCATCTGCGAGTGTGCCTCGCTGTTCGGCCTCCGCCCTTGGTCTGAGCGCCGTTCGCTTTTTCCCCATGCATTCTCACGACACCCATCCCCCCCCCCCCGATAAACCTCTCTTCTCTCTCGTCAGTCAAGCGCGGAAACCCATGTGCGCACACAACACGGCTGGAGGACGACAGCGCGCTCCAGGCGTGTGTGTCTCCACAGCCAATCCCCCTCCCGCAAAAAGCGCGGCAGAGGGACACATGCTTCGATTATTAAAAAAAGGGAAAAAAGGGGTGCCAGTCAGATTGCGATGCAACCCTGCCGAAGGCTGCAAGGGCCAGCGGCACGGTCATCAATTGCCAACGCGGTCAGATGCCAAGAGGCAACAACCACGGGCACGCTTCGCGCTCGGGAAGCATCGCTATTGCTCATCGTCCTGGGGTTTGTTGATGTCTAGTTTGGGTAAACTTGACGAGGACACATACTATAGAAATGATCCCTAGAGTACGGTCGACTAAAGAAATATCCCCTGGAACGGCAGCGCCGGCGGGCCCCCAAAGGCCACGTCCATGATCCGCCGGAGGCGAATTCAAACTTGCGCCCTCTGAAGAGCACCCAACCCCCGGGACTCGGCCCGAGCGGCCCTGGGCGCGATCGATCGCCCAAACCGCCGCCAAGGACCGGCCACAATCAGCCGATCGGCCTGCGGCCCGGAAAGGCGGCCAGCACAACAGGCCAAGCCTTGTGTTGTTCCCCGCCTCCGCCAGCCCCCCCCCCCTCCCCGCTCCCCGCTCCCTGCTCTCCGCCATCGCCCTTCATTGTCTTTCTGTCGGTGGGTCCCTACCCCCGGGCGGGGCCCTGTGGTTGTCAATGCGTCTTTGTCTATTTTTTTGGCTCCACCAAGCGGACGCATCGTTGTCACCGGTCATCAGCGGCCCCATCGCTGTCCGATTCGATGTCGGGCCCCGGGTCGGACTCGGCCCCAAGGTCGCCAGCGGCATCGGCTCCGACCCCGGCCCTGGTCCCAGGGCCGGTGTCATCCGGGCTCGACCACAGAGCCCCACCGCGCGCAGCCCCTTCTTCCCCGACCTCGTCGTCCTCATCTAGGTAGTAGGAGAAGATGGCATCCTCGTCCTCCTCGCCTGAGAGCCCATCCAGCATGGTCGGTGTCAATGCCGGCGCCAGGGTCCCGCCCTGTGTCCGATGCATGGAGTCACCGAGATGCTGCTGTGATGGCGGCTGAATGCCGAAGGCCAGGCAGGAGGATGCGTGAAGACGATGCTGATCATCCGCCGACCCGGCATCCGTGTAGTAGAACTCGTCTACCAGGTCGCCCAGGTTAAGGAAGTTCAGAATGCTGATGGCTGTTGGCCGGCGAGGAGGAACGGGCGCGTGAGTCAACTTGCAAAGATGGGCCCCCAGCAGGAGCGAGGGCGAGGGCAGAGAAGGAGAGCAGGAAGAAAAAAAAACCCCAACTCCATGCACAGACACACACACACACACATGAAGAAAAGGAAAAAGAAAGCGCACCGGCCTCACAGTGATCCTGGTCCGGGTCGTCGGGGAAGTTTGTATG